ATAACACTACATCATTATATACATATAGTCTAATACCTTATAATAGAAAATTCCCATTCTACCCTTCCTTCCTTTATATTATTACTGTCATTAATTTTACTAATCCATATGCTATTACTCAATTCACTGTTGTTATTATTATTACTTTAAACAAAGTTATTTTTAGATTAAGAATAAGAAAAATAAAAGTTTTATTTTACCTGAATTTTTTCCTTTTCTGATGCTCTTCCTATATGTAGATCTGCGTTTCTGACCTACGTCATTTTCCTTCTCCCTGAAGAACTTTTAAAACATTTCTTGCAAGGCAAGTCTGCTGGCAATGAATTGCCACTGATTTTATGTGTCTGGGAGTTTATTCCCCTTGGTTTTGAATCATAATCACTCTGCATATAGAGTTCTAAGTTGGTGAGTTTTTCTTTCTTTTTTTCTAGAAGGTTTCATTTATTTATTTTTAGAGAGAAGGGAGGGAGGAAGTAAGAAAGGGGAGAGACATAAATGTGTGATTGCCTCTCACATGGCCCCCACTGGGGACCTGGCCTGCAGCCCAGGCACGTGCCCTGACTGGGAATCAAACCAGTGACCCTTTGGTTTGCAGTCCACACTCAACCCACTGAGCTATACCAACCAGGGCTGTTTTTCAACAATTTAAATGTGTCAATCCAATTTTCCTCACTTGTATAGTTTCTGAAGACAAGTCTGCTGCAATTTTTATCTTTGTTTCTCAAAAGGAAAGGTTTTTATTTTCCCCTCTTGGCTTCTTTTAAGATTTTTTCTTTGTATTTGATTATTTGAAGTTTGAATATGATGCGCCTAAGTATAGTTTTGTTTTGTTTTACTGGTATTTACTCTGCTTGATGCTTTGTCATGGATCTGTGGTTTGGTAACTGTCACTGAGTTTGGAAAGTTCTCGACCAAAAGTTTGCTACATATATCTATTGTAGACTATCCTTTTAAATGTATGTTTTTGTTTATTTTATAATGTACATTATACGTTTGGGCAATATACATTAATAAAACTTAAAACTTACAAGAATACTTACCTAGGGTTGTATGTTCAAAATATTTTAATGATGTCCTGGCTGGTATGGCTTAGTTGGTCGAAGTATTTTCCCTTGGACAGAAAGGTTGTGGGTTCAGCTTCTGGTCAGTGCACATGCCGGGGTTATGGGGTCAATCGCTAATTGAGGCACATATGAGAGGCAACCAACTAATGTTTCCCTCTTACACTGATGTTTCTCTCCCTCTCTCTTTTCTACCCTTCCCCTCTATCTCTAAAATTTAAATATTTTAATGATGAAGGTATTGAAAAAATACCTGGTGAGATGGCTTGGTTGACAGGAACATCATCTCCCTTCCCCCCCTTCATTTCTTGCTTTCTCTCTTTTCCTTCTGCCACCCCCATAACACAAATACTGATACACCTGAAGTTGTCCCAGAGGCTCCTTGTACCACCCTCATTTTTTAGATTCTTTTCTTCTTGCTGTTCTGATTGGTTGTTTTTTGCTTCCTTATATTCCAAATTGATTCTCAGCTTTATCCACTCTACTGTTGATTCCCTGTAATCATTCTTTATTTCAGTTAGTGTATCCTTTGTTTCTGAGTGGATATTTTTGGAACTTAGTGGACCTCTGCTGAGGTTCTCACTAAGTTCATTGAGCATACTTATAACCAGTGTTTATAATTCTGCCTCTAGTAGTTTGCTTGTCTCCATTTTGTTTAGTTCTTTTTTGGAGTTTTGTTATTTTCTTTCATTTGAGCCACGTTTCTTTGTCTCCTCATTTTGGGAGCCTCCCGGTGTTTGTTTCTGTGTACTGGGTAGAGCTACTACGTCTCCCTGGCTTGGTAGAGTGGATTAATATAGTAAATGTCCTATAGTGTCCAGTGGCACAGCCTCCCCCTATTACCCAAGCTGGGTACTGAAGGTGTGCCCACCATGTGGGCTGTGTACATCCTTCCTGTTGTAGTTGAGCCTTGACCGCTGTTGGCATGTACAAGGTCAGCCACGACCTGTGTCTGTCCAGTGTCACACAGCATAAGCTACAAGCAATCAGCAGATAGCTGCTACTTGTGCTGCTCTTAGAGGTGTTCAGGCAGGGCCAAGCTGTGAAGTAAAGCCAGCTGTTGCCAGTGCCAGGCCTGGGGCAACTTAGCATGAGGTATGAGGATTGCTGAAGCCAGATGCTGCTTGTTTGAGAAAATTTAGGAAAATCTGAAGCAGTGGCCAAGACAAGCCATTCATATAGAAAAAATACTGGAAACAGATTTGGTGGGCCTGAAATTTGGGTGGGGTTGGGCCTCAGGGAATCATCAGGGCGGGACAAACAGTGTGAACCAAGTTGTTGGAGCCTCAGATATGGTGCCCACCTGCTGGCTCTATGGCTCTGTGTTGGGGAGGACTCAGAAAAGGAAAAATGGCCACCACCAGCATCCCTGTCTGGGAGAAAGCTGCTGCCCACATCTCACCCTGAGGCTACACAACTCATCTCCGCCTTGTATGTCTTTGATGCCCTCCAATCTGTTGCCCCCATTCTGGAGCTCACAGGGAGTGAGTCTAAGTGAGTCTGTGCTTGGGCCCTTTAAGAGGAAGTTCCTAGGACTCCAGAAGTTTCTGTTTTCCATATTCTCAATCCTCACTGGTTTTTACAGCCAGAACTTACAGACACTTATCTTCCTTGGTACTGGAATCTTGGGCTGTGGGGCCTGGCATGGGGCTGGGACCCCTGGCTCCTGAGATATCTCTCCCAACTTTTATCCACCGCTCATGGGTGTGGGACAAACCCATTCAGCATCTTTGCTCCTCCTACCATCTTGATGTGGTTTCTTCTTTAATTCCATAGTTGTAGGACTTCCATTCAGCTCAATTTCAGATAGTTCTGAATGATGGTTGCACTATAGTTTCGCTGTAATTCTGATGTAGTTCTGCAAAGAGATGAGACGTCTTTATCCATGCTGCCTTCCCGATGGGAAGCTCACAAGATTGTTATTGCTTCTTGGTTTTGATTTTGTATCTGTTGTTTTTTTTTTTTAGTGAAGAGAGATAGGAAATGTTTTTTAAAGAGACAAAAAATAAATCATAAGTTTTATATTCATTTCAATTTAACATTGTAGGATTGTTACTTATATTATTCAATTTTATAATTTTACATACTTTTTTACAATAAAAACAAGGTTGGTTCCTAACATTAACACAAGTTCTTATTTACTTTATCCTGTAATATACATATCAAAGTTTTGAAATAAGAACAATATTATTATTATTTCATTTTTATTTTTTCTTTTTTTAGTTCTGAATGAAAAAAATTTTAAATTATTTTATTGTTGTTCAATTACAGTTGTCTGCATTTTCCCCCCACCACTCCCCCACCCCAACCAAACCCACCTCCCTCCCTTGCTTCCACCCTCCCCCTTGGTTTTGGCCACATGTCCTTTATAGTAGTTCCTGAAAACCCTAACCCCCCATTATCCCCTCCCCTCACTTCTCTGGTTACTGTCAGATTGTTATTAATTTCAATGTCACTGGCTATATTTTGCTTGCTTTTTTTCTTTTGTTGATTAGGTTCCAGTTAAAGGTGAGATCATTTGGTATTTGTCTTTCACCACCTGGCTTATTTCACTTAGCATAATGCTCTCCAGTTCCATTTATGCTGTCGCAAAGGGTATTATTATTATTATTATTTCTTATGGTTTATATTATCATGGTTTTGGTTTTTTTCCTTAGGATATAACCCAAAAGTGGTATACAGTCAAAATGTTACATTTTTAAGTCCCTTGGACTCACCCTTTTTATGGGTGTGGTCATGTCATCAACGGGATATGCAGTTGGGTTCTTTTGCTTCAAACTGCTTTTGGCCATTATAGACTCTGCCTTTTAAAGTGATCTTTTTTTGACAATTGACTTTTAAGTCTGTAAAAATGTACATGATTCTGAAGTCAAACTATTTTCAAACAGTTACATTCAGAGTTTTACTTCCATCTGTATTTCCATCATTTTCTTCCCTTCCTCCCTCCTCTATGTAACCTTTTAAGAAATTATTGGTTTGGGTTTATCCTTCCATTGCATTAAGAGTTTTCAATGGGAGGAATGTGTGGCGTGGTCTAAGCAAGATTTTCCATCTAGTGGGAGGGACAACTCCTACTAGGAGTGAGAGGAGGGGGCCTCAGCTGGCTGGGTGTATTGGGTTGTTTTGATGGGCCTGGGACAGGGAAGGTGGGGGGCGGCCAAGGGAGGGAGAGGAGGCTGTGTGGCAGGGAGTGCAAGCCTCTTAGAGCTGCAGAGAATGGTGTTGAAGTCAAAAACAGAATCTATAAATGATTTCAAATTTTAAAAGTTAAAAAACAAAACATAAGGCACATCCAAACACAAACAAAAGCATCCTCTGTTGGCCCCTGTTGGGCCACACATAACTGCTGGGGCCAGAGGTACCACACTGAGCTAGTTTAAGTAAAGAAATGCTCCCTCCAAGAGAAGGTGAGGCCTGCAGGGCACACACCGAATCCACTCTCTGCTCTCCCCAGCTCTCCCCAGCTCTCCAGTTCCATGGGCCCTGGGGCGCATGCTGACTCTCTAAATATCTACTACCACACCTTGGAAGACAGATGCTTATTTTCCCTCCTAGATTTCTTTTCCTGTCATAAGAAAAGACAAAAACAAAAGCTGTGCTTTCTGTTGTCCCTTTCCCAAAGCTGTGACAGTAAAGACGCTGCCCTCTGGAGTTGCATCCTTAGTAAGACAGCAAGTCAGTGTGAAGGAGCAGTGTGGAACAATGGGGGAAGAAGCCATACTTTTGGCCTGTATTTCTTATTGGCTTTGTGTCCTTGGGCAAGTTTCTTAACATCTCTGAGCCTTGGTTGCCTTACCTGAAAAATGAGAATGATAATATTCGATTCACAGGATGTTTTTGGAGGCTGAAATGAGTGGTCTGTGTAATACTCCTGATACACGATGCCAGTACCAGTAAATAATAGCTAAGACTGCCTATTTTTTCCTTTTTGTTTTGCAGGAAATTTGTGAGAATCCCCGATTTATCATTGGTGGGGCCAACAGAACCGACATCTGTCAAGGAGATTTAGGTAGGAACATCCCTTGGGTCACATCAAGCTGAATAATCATGGGGTGGCAAAAAGGTTCGATCCCTTTACAGGAAGTAAAGGGACAATAACCTGTTTTTGCTTTTAATGAATTTTCGGGAGAAGGTGTTATAATATTGCTCTATGTGCTGGTGATTGCTTCGTTTCCTTTCTGTTCCTCCCACATTTGTCATTAGTTCATTTGCCATGTGTCACAGGAGGTAGACCTCATTCCACAGCCGCCCCTCCAGAGTCTCAAGAACAGTCCCACACCCTGCTCAGCAAGACAAACGCCCTGCTTCTGACCGTCCCATCTTCCTTAACGACAGCTCTGAACCTGCAGGCCAAGCATGTCCCTCCAGCACATAGAATCTATATATACACACAATCTTCCACAAAATGCACGACCAAAAACAGTGTCCGTAACTTGAACTCTTGTTTAAATTGCCCCAGAATAATAGTTCCATATGAGAAGGGTCTTTCAATAGGGACGACACTTGCTTTGTGGATAAGCATCCAGTTGTCTGTCTGGCCAGCCTGGCTGTCCCATTGGACCGTTTTTTTCCCTCTGCCTCTTGTTCAGGACATACCTACCACCTTTGGTGTGCACTGCGGGAAAGCTCTGTGAAGTCAAGTTGGAGAGAATATCCACAGATACAACCTAAAACCTGAGGGTAAAAGGCGCCTACCAAATGAGAGGAATAGGACTCATTTGGTCCCAGACGGAGAGGCCGAGGAGGTTTTGGATACCTAGGTTCCGCACCTGAGGGAAGGTGGCTTGCAGAGCCTGGAGCGAGGAATAATCTGGACTGGCTAACCAATACACTGTTTCCAAGGACAGGCTGGCTGCTCAGGGGGACCAGCGGGCAGGGGGCTGTCTCAAAGTTGCTCTCACGTCCCACACAGCAAAATGAAGGCCTTACACACCGCAACCTAGCCCCGCCTCAACTTAGAAGGCAGTTCTGTGACAGTCAGTGTACCAGGCGTGCCCCTTGGGGGCGTTTCTCTCTCTCTCTCTCTCTCTCTCTCTCTCTCTCTCTCTCTCTCTCTCTCCACACACACACACACACACACACACACACACACACACACACACACACACACACGCAGCAAAGTGTCACCTTCCACTACATACAGTACCAGGAAGGAAGTTTAGGAGTAAGAAAATGTCCCTGTCTCATTCCATCATCAGCAATGTCTCAGCGCCCCCTGCAGGCCAGTTCCAGAGCAGCTGCCAAACTCCTTACGTTACAAACCCGTTTGGCTGATGATTCATATGGGTCAGAAGGGGAGATGGACTCACCTTGCAGACACAGGGCAGGGCGGGTTTCCCACAGGTGTTGTGAATAATGACCCGATCATGACTCTGTCTCCACTGAAGCCCAAGCAGGAAGTGAGTTTATGTTGCAATTCCTGGAGGAATTGCCAACAGCCTCCAGGAAAACCACTCAGGAAGGTGTGAGTGATCCCACTGAGCAGATCACATTGCCAGGGGACTGCTGCCAGACCCCTCCCCTGGTCCACACCTTCATGAAGTCGAGTCTGCAAGTAGGTCAGCGAGCACCACTTGAACCCAGCTCTTCAGAGAAGTGGAGCAGCCCTGGGATTGGGTCTCTCGCCTGGAGGTACAGGCCCCTCCTTTGACCTGTGCCTCGTGTTTGCCTGCAGGGGACTGCTGGTTTCTCGCAGCCATCGCTTGTCTGACCCTGAACAAGCACCTGCTTTTCCGAGTCATACCCCACGATCAAACTTTCACTGAAAACTATGCGGGGATCTTCCACTTCCAGGTGAGGTCATGGCAGTGGCCAGCTGCCATCCACTCACCACTGGTCTTCTGGGCTTGACTTCCCCGAGGCTCCAGAAAGGTTCCACCCACCCTCCCAGCTGTGGCTGTGGGTGGAGACTCCCTGCAGGGCTCCAGTCTGTGAGGAAGCCATTGTGTATTTCTGCCCCCACACTCCCCCCACACACCTTTGGCTATGCCCCAGAAAAGGAGCAAGACATCCTGTTTGCTGGCCTGTAGGTTTATTTTTGCCACTCCAGCTGGCTGGCTGCTTTGTTATTGCTCAAGGCTCTGCTCTAGTCAGTCCCTGAGATATTAGCCCTGGGAATCCAGGTGGTCCTTTTGGTTGTAAAGAAAACCCCGTCTACAACTGTGACTCCTGTCTAGTTGCCTCCGCTTAAGGCAGGTTCTTACCAATTCTATCACTCACCTCTTCTGTGCTCTGGAAGAAAAGTTTGGTTGTTCTGGGGACTAGGTTTCTGGTTCAGCCCAGAAATGAGTCTTAGTTCCAGAATCAATCAGCCATTGAACATTTTCTGGAGCCAACTTGTCCCGGCATAGAGCCCAGTCGCAGTGCTGGCCCCAAACTGAGTTCCATATGTGCAGATCCAGCACATCCCAGGGTTCTGAGGCACCATCTGTTTCTAGCCCAGGAGGCTCCAGATATCTTGGGACTGACCCAAATCATCGGTTAAGGTATCTGCTGATCCTGTACCTCAGGACTAAAGGCCCCAGGAAGGTCTTCTCTTCAGGTTCAGGGTCAGCTCCAGCCGCCGTCTGTCTGAGCACGGGCAAGGCGGCCAGGCCCTGAACTTCTTTCTTCGCTGTGTCATCAAGCTGCTAATTCCCCTCTGGTGTTTAGAGGGTCTGATATCTAAAGGGATGTAAATACAAACACCAGACAGATTTTTGCTCTTGTGTCAATAAGGAGGAAAAAATTCATTATAAGACAGTTAAACTGCATTTGGCTTTCTTCAGTTAAAACTGAGTTGGTCAGAAAAGAACATCAGATTTGCAATTATTGGACAATTTTCCTGCTTCAGTCAGAGTATGTTCTGGGCTCTTTCTCTTCCATGTCAATCCTTGTTCAGCAGCAATCTCTGCCTCGTTTTGTCATGAGAAATACATAGAACAGTACATCACCTCCACCTAGACCAGTGGTTCTCAACCTTGGCTGCATATCCGAATCAGCTGAGGTACCCACAGGGACTGTGGCCCCACCCCAGACTCACTGAGCTGAGAATGAATATCCGCAGAGCACCTGCTGCCCCCGTCCAGGGCTGGACTCTGTGGAAGAGACAAAGTGGTTTGTAACTAACTCACTTTCTGCCCTCAAGGAGCTCACAGTCCAGTCAGAGAAACAGTCACACATCCCCAAACAAGAAGAGAGTAAACCAGCACCAAGACGCAGAGCTGAGGAAATGGGACTGCTTTGGGGTCCAGGAGACTCTAAGGGACCCTGGGTGGGAACACGGGCCCAGTGGTGACCTGTGGGTGGTGCTTCCGTGCAGTTCTGGCGCTACGGAGACTGGGTGGACGTGGTCATTGACGACTGCCTGCCGACGTACAACGACCAGCTGGTTTTCACCAAATCCAACCACCGCAACGAGTTCTGGAGCGCTCTGCTGGAGAAGGCGTACGCTAAGTAAGGCAGCACTTTCCAATGCGAGGCGAGTCTAGAAGTCACTCATGAGAGGAGGCATGTGTATTTGTGCGTGTGTGTGCGTGCTCCTTTGTGACCCGACGCAGGGGAGATCAAGTCCCGACGTAAACTGCTCTCACTGAAAGCACTATGTGTAAGAACAGAAATGAAGACATGTGTGGGAGCTCTTTAGCTTCACAGGGTGAGCTCTTTAATTCTGTCTTTGCGGCGGTGACACAAGTCCTGGATCCAGGCATTATATCTCTGGAGCTTAGCTTCCAGGGTCACGCTCGGCCTACCCTCGTGAGTTTGCAGTCTGTTAGTAAAGTCATTTTGTGTCTCAGCCCGAGATGCTGAGGCTTTCATGAGGCCCTACCTCGGGGTTCAGGGTATAACAGACAGAGAACTATCAGGGAGCAGGGATAGCTAGTTTCCAGTCCCAGTGCACAGGCTCTCTGTGGCTTGGGGTGAGTCACTTTGCCTCTGGGGCTCAGTTTCCCCTTTGCGAGGAAGGGGAATCATGGCACTGGCCCATTAGCTTACGAGGGCATTGGAGAGCTGATGGGACAACATCACAGGACCCAAGAGTAAGGCTCTGGTGGCAGTGGCGCCTGGGTCATGTTCCCTGGAAACCTGTGCCCAGACTGGTCTCCACCCTCTCTTCAAGGCTCCACGGTTCCTACGAAGCTCTGAAAGGTGGGAACACTACAGAGGCCATGGAGGACTTCACAGGAGGGGTGACGGAGTTTTTTGAGATCAAGGATGCTCCCAGAGACATGTACAAGATCATGAAGAAAGCCATCGAGAGAGGCTCCCTCATGGGCTGCTCCATTGATGTGAGTCCGGGGTACGGGCGGCAGGGCAGGAAGCAGCCGGATGTCGGAAAGCCTTACCCAGTGATGAGGGTTCTCCTCTGGGACAGGGCGAATGTTCTGTTTTAGGAAGCAGGAACTGGTTCTCAACTTTGAAAACTGAGAATGTCTCAAGGTAGAAGAGTTCCTGGGGGTTTTCAGTAAAGAGAGAGGGCAAGGACACACCAAGCCCTAGAACACTAGGAACAGGTCCAGAGGTCCACGGTGGTGTGGGCCTCTGCGGCGGGGACTGCTCAGGCCCAGCATGCCCCCACGCCCCCTGGCTGTGGACCGGAGCCCATGGTGCCCTAAGAAAGCCTCTCAGTCACCAGGCTGTGATCACATCTCACAGGCAGGGCCTGGGCCTCGTCTTGCAGTCTGGGAGAAGCTCAGGCTGCAGTCTCCTCTCGGTGCAGCAGCGTGGTTTGAACCAGCACTGGGTGAGGAGACTGCAGACTGGCCAGGCTGCGTGAGTTTGGGGAGACACGCTTGCCCTGGGGGCTGCTCAGTGGGACTCGGTACTTTCTCAAGCTGGGTGATTGCTCCTTCCTCTCCCAGTACTCCAGTGGACAGGAAAGCTTGGCAAGATCAGCTGACGTTAAGCACCCATAAATGAACCGTTTTCTCACTTTTCTCCATCTTTTCTTTATTCATGCTGTTTCTCTCTCCTTCTTTGTGTTGTCTACCCCTCCCTTCCTTTGGTCTTCTTCCCTTTTTATCACCTCCTTTGTTTGTTCTCTCTCCTCCTCCCGACTGCCTGCCCCACCCCCCGCCCTTCCCATTGGGCCCCAGGATGGCACAAACATGACCTATGGAACCTCTCCTTCCGGGCTGAAAATGGGGGAGTTGATTGCGCGGATGGTGAGAAATATGGATAACTCGCTGCTCAGAGACTCAGACCTCCTCCCCACAGGCTCAGATGACAGACCGACCCGGGTGTGTACACCTCCACGTGTCAGGAACGAGCGCCCCTCCTACGCGCGTGCCCCAGGCCTGTGGGTGTCACTCTCCCCTCAACAGCCAGTGCCTCGCACAGACCTCCACCCGAGGCCTTCCCAGGGTCTGAGTCGGAATAATTCGCCCCCTCCGAGGCTCCAGAGGGTGGGAAAGACAGGACTTGGAGGGCATCTCGACGGGAGCTCCTCCTCCGTGGTCCCGGCCACTTCTCTGATAGCCAATTAACAGGAAGAAAGGCAAGAGGGACTTCATTTATTTAAAAATGTTTCTCCTCTTCTAATTCATCTATTTACTCATTCAACACATATGCATTGAGCTCCTACTAGGTGCCAGCTATTCTAGCAAACAAAAAAAGATCCTCTCCTCTCTGCTCACCAAGCTAGTGAACAGAGCAAAGTGCCCCCTCGCAGAGCTCATATTCTAGCACTTTCAGAAGCACTGCAAGCTCACTGAGCCACATGGCAAAGCAGAAGAAAAATCACCCATCTTTCCCCATCTAAAAATAGTAGCTGTTCATTAACTTTTAGTATATGTCCTCCCAAGATTTTTTCTATGCATACACTTAATCTAAATCTTTATTTTTCATGTTGTCATGCTGTATGTACCTCTTTGCAACACAGCTTTTTTTTTTTTTTTAGTTAGCTTTATATTCTTAATGTGCTAATAAGAATTATATCCCTTATGTGTCTCCTATGGTATGTTAGAGCCTTCTCATGGCCAGGGCACACCTTCAGGGCAGGGAGCTGTCCTTGTCCTCACAGAACCCAGAAAATGAACAAGTGCGAACCTCATCTCAGGTGGCAGAACTCTTGCTTCTCAAGCCCTGACGGGCTGTCTGGTTTTCGCTCCACAGACAATCGTTCCGGTTCAGTATGAGACCAGAATGGCCTGTGGGCTGGTCAAAGGACATGCCTACTCTGTCACAGGGCTGGAGGAGGTGAGCCTGCTGGGGCTTGGCAGGGTGGGACTTGGGGAGCTACTTGGGTCAAGCAGCTGAGGTCAGCACTTAGCTTTCTGTGTCCCTTTGTGGCTACAGAGCTTGCCTCCAATCAGGTGATCCCTCAAGGCTCAGGCCGGACGCCTGGCCTGGGGTTGGAGGGAGAGGATCTTGCCACCAGATGGTGCTCAGTTCATCTTTGTTCTCAGTGCCAAAGGCAGCCATTCCCCCCAACATTTCCAAGGAGCAAATGGAAACCACTTTGGGTTTATGAAGTTGATTTCATGGGTTCTCGTGCCAAACGGTTCTGCTGTTTTGCTTTTACTGGGTCACGTCAGAGACGGGAACCTTGTCAGATCCCCCAGCACGTGCTTCATGCAGTTGTGCCCTGTACTCGGGGGTGGACAGAGAGGACAGTCATCTGGAGCAAGGCCCAGCAGGCTGGAGGGAGGCGCGCCGTGCTCCTGATTAGTCCATCTGGAGGGCACACGTGTCTGTAGTTCCCCAGCCAGCAGGGTGTTTTTCCTAACGCACACACAGACAGCTCGTGTGCTAGCAGGGCCTTACAGCACGTGCCCTGCCCCCTCCTCGAAAGCTCGTAAGAGCAGGATGTTCACAGGGGAAATCACTTCTGGGAAGACAGTGAGGCTTCTGACTCACAAGGACTCAGTTCTTAGGTGCTGACCCCTCACTCTGCTGTTCCATGGGACGCTTCCGATGAGTTTCCTTGAGCAGGACCAGGCAGGGTGGCCCCCTGTACGGAATTTTCTCCCCACCCCATCCCAGCTCTCAGGGCAAGACAGAAGACCCCCCTTTCCAGAAAGGCCCCAGACCATAAGCGCATTTTCTCTTTTGCCCAAGACCACGTTCAAGGATGAGAAGGTGAAGCTGGTGCGGCTGCGGAACCCCTGGGGCCAGGTGGAATGGAACGGCTCCTGGAGTGACGGGTAGGTGAGGGGACTCCAGGAGTAGGGACAACAGGGCCTGGGCGAGGCTGGGTTGGGTACAAGGCCACAGGAGTACCACAACAGCTACGGCTAAAATTACCTTCAAAACCAATGATCCCCAGAAGAGAAGAGGGGATGTGGGCTTTAGGGAAGAGCCGGGAGGAGCCAGGGGAGCCTAGCAGCCAGAGAGCTGGCTGATGGCAATTAACTAGAAAGAAAGGTTCTAGAAAGCATGAGTTAGGTCCAGGTAGGAGGGGAGTCTTAATGCAGGGGTCTAGACTAGACAAGTGACTTCCCTTCTCGGGGTCCCTGTTACCTCACCTGTAAAATGGAAACAATATCAGCTCTTCCCTAGTGGGCTGTTAGGAAGAGAAAACACAGTCGTGTCTGAAGAATGCTTAGCTGGTGCTCAGATTTCCTCTCCCGGGCCGTCCCCATAGAAGGCGCACAGGCCCTTTGAGCGAACTTCACTGCTCATCACTGAGAGCACTACACTGGGGGCAGCAAAAATTCCAAGCCTAGGAAACTCATGATAAAGGCTCCAGAACATGTGCAAAGCCCTGTGGTCCCACCCTGTCCACCTCACGGAATGGAGGGCAGCTCCTTGGGCACCTCTGTTACTCCCAAGACGGGAGAGCAGGACTCGGCAGCTGAGCAGGGCACACCCAGGCTGTGTGTGCCCTCCAGCCCCCTGGGGTTACTTCGATGTACCTCTCTTCTCAGGGCACCATAATTACTGGTTCACTCAGCCATCCATTTGCTGAGCATCTACCCAATAGCAGGCACAGGTCTACACACTGGGGATATCCCTCCCTCAGGAGACTGTGATGAGGTGCTAGTCCTCGTCTCCTGCTGTTTCCTTCGCTTGTCCATGTGGCAGTCTTGCTTCCCCAGGGATGAGTGGGTGCCAGCCCCCAGGGTACTGTCTAGGGACTTGGAAATGTGCACAGAGACACAGGCCCTACCCCTGTAGACTTCAGGGTCCAGTGGGAAGGACAGACAAACACCAATAATAACTGAGATAAGCACCAATGGTAAGAGTCACGAAGAGGTCTCCCCTCCCCTAGTGTGGGTAGTAGGGCAGGAAGGTAGGAAAAGGCTGCCTGATGGGAGTGGCAGGAGAACGAGGCTGTGTGCTCTGGGACCACGGTGCCCCATCAGTAGTCTGCTCCACCGGCCCGAGTCAGCCCCGGGAACCTGGCTGTGTTCTCCAGCCTCACAGCTGGGTGTCCAGCCTTAACCCGCCTCCCACCAAGGCCTCCACTGCAGGGACTGCTGACAAGAGAGCCTCAGCCGCAAGTCACTCAAGGGGAGACTCCCCTGCCCACTGTGTCCCCCCTTGGGGTCTCAGGACTCTCCATTTCCCTCCCAGCCTCCCCGACTCTAAGCATTTCCTCAATCCCTTACCTTTCCAGGGTCAACCCAGTTTAGTTTTATCCTTCTCTGTGTGCCCGAGACACAAATGTGCCTCATTTCCTCACTCTTCAAAAGGGGGCGTGTGTAAAACTGCCCGGCCTTGAAAAACACTGGTGAGGCTGTTTCCCAGGCTGGATGGAGCAAGGAGATGTTTGCTCGTCCAGTCTTTCTCTTAGAATCTCAGACAATTACTCGTTACATCATGGGCACTGTTCCACAGGGTCTTGCATGCATTATTTCATGTACTGCTTCTCACAGCCCTGTGAGTAGGTAACGTGCCATCAGTCCCCATTTGCAGCTGAGAAAACAGAAGCTGAGAGAGGTTAAGTGACTTATCCATGGTTCCATAGTTGGAACTGGTTGTTATTAAATTGAAATCTCAGGGGGCATGCAGGATGGAGGGGAATGAAGGGGGGATAGAACAACTGTAATGGCATAATCAATAAAATTTAAAAAAAGAAAAAATAAATTGAAATCTCAGTTTACTTATTTTCAGAACCCAACTCCTAAACTAAAGTGTGAGAAGGGGTAAAAGATCAGCCAGAGAAGGGTCAAGCCATTATAAACCCATCTAAGGAGTTTGGTTCGACCCCTGAGGCTGGTGGAAAGCAATGGTTGGGTTTTACAGCAAGGAAATCGGATCAGATTTGCATTTTGATGGTTCACTCGGGCCACAGTTTGGAGATAGATGGGTCATTCTTTGAACTTCCTTGTATTTCTCTGATACCTCCTATCCCAGTCCACATCAGGCCTTCCTTCCCTCCTTCCATAAATCCTCCATTTCCCCTCCAGGTGGAAGGACTGGGGCTTTGTGGACAAAGATGAGAAGGCCCGTCTGCAGCACCAGGTCACAGAGGATGGAGAGTTCTGGTGAGTCCAAGACCAAGGAGGAACCCAAAGGGTGAGGGATGGGGCAGGGGCTGAAATCTCGAACCTCGATTCCCAGACAGAGGCCATCAGATTCCAGCCCTTGGGAGACCTGGCCCCTGTTTCCCTTCTCCAGCTGGAGGCCCAGTGAGGATACACGTGCTCAGAGGCACCCCCCAGGTCACAGTGGTGACTGGGCCCCCGCCTCCCTGTGCCCTCCGCCACACGTGCTGCTCCAGACACCTGCCCCCGAGTCTTCACAGAGCCGTCTTCTGAGCCAGGGACGCTCCGCTTACTCTGCTCACCCAGTGCCACCGCCATCCTCACACAGTTCGTTTCTACTCAGCCTCCAAGTCCCAGCTTTAAAGGGGACTTTCTTCAGGAGCCCCTTGTCTTCCCCAGGACTGGAATTGTTGGTCTGTCCTACTCATCACCCTTGAAATCATTTGCTTAGTTGTCGTTCCCCAACTCTCTCTTATAACTAGCGTGGTGCCTAGGCCCCAGGGCAGGGTCACACAGTGACTTTTGGGGGAGAGCATTGCTGCTGAGTTCTCCCATCAAGGACCATGAACTTGAGTCATTATTGGAGGTGGTGACTCAGACCAGAATTGACCATTTCTACCCTAAAAAAGGGAAGGCAGGGTCCTTTCTGGAACTGTGACCAAGCTCCACTGGACCATCTTACTGGGCTGTGTTAGCCCCAGAGTCTTAACTGTCCCAGCCTCCCACATGGGTCTCTCTCTTCTTCCAACCTCTCAGGATGTCGTATGACGATTTCATCTACCATTTCACGAAGCTGGAGATCTGCAACCTCACAGCTGACGCCCTGGAGTCCGACAAGCTTCAGACCTGGACGGTGTCCGTGAACGAGGGCCGCTGGGTGAGGGGCTGCTCTGCTGGAGGCTGCCGCAACTTCCCAGGTGGGAGAAGCTCGGCGTGGGGGAAGGGCCCAAGCAGAACGAGTTCCAGGTAGAATATTAACTAGCACTTGCTGGATTTCTACTAAGACCCAGACATACATCATCTTTAAAGCCTCCCTGTTTTACTGAGAAGGGAGCTGCAATGCTGAGGAGTTTGAGATAGGGAGCTGGTAATAGCTTTTAAACAGAACATTGTATCAGGATAACACTGTGTTCATAAGGCTAAGAGCGGGACTGGAGGACCGAGTTCGCAGCTACTGCCAGAGTTCCGGCCAGAAACGATGCACTCCCAGGCCAAGTCAGGAGCAGCAGGGGCAGAGGGAAGAGGGCTTAGGGGAGAAGATATTGGGCAATGTGGGGAGGGAAGAATGAAGAATGACTTCAAGATTCCCAGTCTGGGAGTGTGAGTGGATGGTGTCAATGTTGCAATATAAGAAACACAGAGAAAAACACCATGTGTCATTTATGTTTGGTGGAGCGGATTGTGAGCTTGTAGGGAAGAAAGTTTAGTTTGAGACATGGAGAGTTTGAGGCACCTGTGGAATATCAAGGTGAAGATGTGTAAAATAGAGAGCTGCACAAAGAGATTCGAATGGTACTTGGGCCTCAGTATATATTTGTAGAAGAAAAAAGGAAGGAAGGAGGGAGGGGAGGGGAGGGGAGGGGAGGGGAGGGGAGGGGAGGGGAGGGGAGGGGAGGGGAGGGGAGGGGAGGGGAGGGGAGGGGAGGGAGGGGAGGGGAGGGGAGGGGAGGGGAGGGGAGGGAGGAAAAGAAGAGCAAAGGAGAAAAAAAAGAGGAAGGAAAGGAGAGGGTGTCAAAAGAGAGATGGAGGCCGGGACCTGTAGCTCAGGCATCACCCACATGTGGGCAGTGGGTGCGAGAACAGGTCTAGGACCAAATCCTAGGGGTCAACAACAACCTTGCAAAGCCATCAGCAAAGACTGAGAACGGCAGTTCAGAGAGGAAGGAGGACGCACAAAGCCAATCAGGGCAGCTCTATCAGTGTAAAGTATAGGCTACCTGCCACCTACCCCCTAAATAATTAGACCAGTGCCTGCATCATTCCTTCCATATTCATTTAACACCCAGACGTGGGAGACAAAGACACATAGGTTGGCCCTGTCTCATTTCCCTTCCTGCCCATTCTCCAAGAGGCAGATCTGATGCACGTTTTCTTTCGGGGGGGCACAGACACTTTCTGGACCAACCCACAGTACCGTCTGAAGCTCCTGGAAGAGGACGATGACCCCGAGGACTCAGAGGTGGTCTGCAGCTTCCTGGTGGCCCTGATGCAGAAGAACCGGCGGAAGGACCGGAAGCTGGGGGCCAACCTCTTCACCATTGGCTTTGCCATTTATGAGGTAGGGCCAGCTTCAGCTCAAGAAACACGCATCTTCTCAGGGAAGAGGCTTTCAGGGCTTACAGAGAGGACCTCCGGCTTCCCTGACACTCGGTGACCCCCAGAACTCCTGGTGTCAGGCCCATGGTGTCAGCTCATCTCAGATATCTGCAAGGAGTGGATAGAGACCACGGCGGGGGAAGTACAGTGGGGCCGGGGCTGCCGGCTCAGTACACGGGGAGTCACACTTCTAAGCATTCACCCTGCGATTGCTGGTGTTCCCCTCCTATAAGCTTTTTGTCTCCATTCAGGTCTGAGATCAGAATCTGAGTGTCTTCTCTTTCTGTTTCTCTTCAAGGTTCCCAAAGAGGTATAGAAGGGGCAGCAGCCAGCAGCTGCCTGCAGCATTACCTGGGGCTCCTGTGTCCGTCTGTGGCATAGCAGGAAACTCCCCGGTGGGGTCTGTGGGCAGGACCACGACAGGAGAAGGCTGTGCCCGTGCCCCTCGACCCCAGAGCAGGCGCATGACCTCCTGACTTCCACCCTCCCTTCCCACCACAGACTCACACACATGCTTTCATACATTCATATTCACTTGTTCACTCACGCACACACTTGCTCACACTCATACACATTCACCCTCGCACAACTACACACTCACACATACTCACAGATCCACATTCGGGGGGGGAACTGGGGCACTGGCCTCTTTGGGATGGAGGAATGGCCTCCCTCAGACCCTAACTAAGGGCCCTCCTGCCTCCTTGGGGTCCTTCCCCAGCCTGGAGGTGATCAGAGTGGGCCAGCAGCAGTTCTGGTAAGTGGTCCCGAGTGCAGGAATGATAGACTTGACCTTCACTTCTGAATCACAACAAAAAAAGGAAGAGGAAGCGGGATAGGGAGCTCCAGGGACATGGAGCTATTTGAGGCCTTGGGAATCGGAAGTAGGTAGGTCATCGCTGTGAACTGGGTGGCCAGGAGCTGGGAAGGGGGCCCTGGGTGGGGGCCGCTATGGGCAGGACAGGGTGTCCCTCCCGAGCAGCTCAGGGCCCTGGGGCTCTTCTCCCCTTCAGATGCACGGGAACAAGCTGCACCTGCAGAAGGACTTCTTCCTGTACAACGCCTCCAAGGCCAGGAGCAAGACCTACATCAACATGCGGGAGGTGTCCGAGCGCTTCCGCCTGCCTCCCAGCGAGTATGTCATCGTGCCCTCCACCTACGAGCCCCACCAGGAGGGAGAGTTCATCCTCCGGGTCTTCTCTGAAAAGAGGAACCTCTCTGAGTGAGTCCCAGCCCTGCTTTTCCCTCCCTGGCCCTACAAGCCTGCATGGCTCTTTCCAGAGATTGGAAGCACAAGACAGCTGGGTGGTTACTGCCCGAAGTCCTGGGATATGTTGATACCAGGCGGCACCTCTTCCTCAGCTTCTGAGCCACTGGCCACATGTTCCCTATTCATTCACTCAGTCAGTCAGTCAGTCGGTCGGTCAGTCACCCCACAGATACTTACTGAGGCTAGAGCATTGAATTAAGCAGAGAGCAATCCCTGCCCTCATGGACATTAACATCCTAGCATGAGACAACATTGTATAGGAAAAGACATATATATATAATATGTTACAATTAGACGAGTGATAAAGAGAAAAAATAAGTAGGGCTGAGGGGTAGGAGGTGTTGGGGGTGACTGAACTTTCAGGCAGGGTGGCTAAGGAAGCCAGCAAGGCCACATCCTGCCTGACTGGCCACCACAGACGAGTTCCTAGGCCCTGCCACTCTGATCTTTGTCCCCAAAAGAAGCAGAAGGTCTTGAGTAAGTGGCTTTGCGCTTCTGGGGAGCTCTGGGCAAAGCAAACAAGAGCCCGTGTGTCTGTACTTGGATGCTGGCAGTGGTACCTACGTGGGGCTGGGCCCTGGGGTGCAGGATGTTCGTTCCTGGGCCAACCCTGAGGTCATCCTGACTTGGCTCTGGGAAGTCATGTGATTCCTGTTTGCTCCTGGAGACACTGAGACCCCTCGTGTGTGTTCCTCACAGGGAAGCTGAAAATACAATCTCCGTGGATCGGCCAGTGGTGAGTGGTTTAGCTCTTATGTGTGAGAAGGGCCGGGGTGAGCGAGGCAGTGGAGGGGAGGGTGGGTATCGACAGAGGGAGATGGGAGCCTGGGGTGTGCAGAGCGATCCCACCACAGTACGGCAACTTTTGTTTGGCATGACCAGCAGTAGCAATAGGCCTTATGGTCAGGGGGCTTTTAGTCAGTCTAGGGGCTGGGAAGTTCAGCCCCTGGACTGACCAGGGGCTGGGAAGAGAGACCTAGAATGGAGAAGCAGTTTGAACCATTAGAGAGAGGGACTGAGGCTACAGGAGGGATGATAAGAGCAGTGGCCAACACTGGATTATGAGGCACAAGCTCACACAGGAAAAAGGACACCAGCTCTGCAGTCCGAATCAAAACTGGGGCCCACACCCACGTGCTGGGTGGCCTGGACAAGTTACATCAACCCTCTGATTCAGTTTCCTCCTCCTTAAAGATGGGGACAGCACGTGCCTTGCAAGGCATTTGTGAGGTTTGAACACCGAGGTCATGTAGTGAACGGCCTGCCACACACGGGCCCTCGAACGTAGGTTGCTGTTCTCATGTTCCAGACCTCACCAGGCACGCCTCACAGGTGCTCTCCCCTTGATCCTGGAGAGGTTTCTGAGCTGACATGAGGTCATTCCCTCCGGTTTTAAAGTAAGGAAGTGGAGGTTCAGCTAGTTCATGGAGCCCTTCAGTGCGCTAATCCAAGCTCAGGGCCAGATTCTTTGAACACAGACTCAGCTCTCTCCGCCACCGCCATGCTGAGAGGTGTCCCCAGGGCTGCAAGGCCCGCTGTCAGCACAGAGCCGGTGCACACTGGGGTCTGTGTGTCGAGGGGTCTTGGGGCTTTGGGTCCTGATTAGTAAACAGTCCCGTGTGCTCTGTGGGTGCATCCTGGGCCAATAAGAGGACGGCAAATGCCCCACTGAACTGTCTCCTGGGTAGTGACACTCACAGTTCTATTCCTGACCCTGTAGCAGTGCCAGAGCTCCAAGTGCCTTCTGCATTATTGCAGATGCCATTTTTAGTATGAGGTGCACCTGGAGCTATTCTCATCTTCTGGATGTCGGTCGTCGGTGTACAGTGTTCGTCAGGAGCTGCAAACCCAACAGCTTATGGGAGCTGGCGTGTCACTGAACTGAGTAGAGCAAGCAGGTGCAGGGATTTGGGTGTCCCTACGGTGGCCCGCAGTCCTCGACTGACACTGGGCTTCTGTGTCAGAGGACCAACTGGCAGGGTGGTGACAGCTGGCTGGAGGCTGCAGAGAGCAGCCGCTCTGCCAGGTTGTGGCCCCAGGGGGGCGCCGTTCATGCAGGCTACCTGACTTCATTGTACAAAAGCAGCCCCTAGACCTAGATTTCCACTAAGTTTCTCTATGTTAAGTATTTGCTCAAAAACAAACAAAAAAGCCCCCAAACTCTGTATATGAGATAAATTTCACTCTGGGGTGTTTGGGTTATCTACTTTTTCAGTGTTTTAGTCACCAACTTCATTTAAAAAAATACAAAACAGGTCGAATCTCCCTTTCCTTAGCCATGTCCAATAACAGAGTGAGCTCCAAAATCGAAGCCATAGCAGCTGCCAGCCTCGGGACTGGAGCATCCTCTCCTCCCTGCACCCTGCAGGCCCCCTCTGGCTCGAGGTGACCTGGATTTCTAGCCCCCAGAACCCACCCAAAGCTGAGAACCAGGTCATGGGGAAGTCAAAGGCAGTGGGTTCTCTGGAAACGTGCTTTTCACTTAATCTGCATTCACTGTTTCCTTTCCTTGTGCAGAAAAAGAAAAAACCCAAGGTGGGTGTGACAGGGTGAGTGGGTAGACAGCACCGAGGTTTGAGCGTGGTGTGAGCGCATGCGCACCAGACCTGCCTCTTCCCCCCCCCGCCGCCCCGCCCCCTGCGCTGCTGCGGCTGTGGGTTCAGAGCAACGAGAGCTCCCACTCACTGAATGAAGGCCACCGACCGGGCGCTCTCTAGGTGCTTTCTGTGGATAAACTCAATCCTCTCAGCAACCCTGTGGGATTGGTACTGTCCTTATCCCCATTTTCAGAGGAAGAAAAGGTACGGACTGATGGACTAACCTGAGGCCACAGAGCCGATGAGTGGCAGAGCCAGCCCTTGGAGCCGGTGCAGTCCGCGCTCTGAACCACCATTGCTGCACTGCTCGCCTTTCCCAGGAGGGAGGGAGAGGATGGCTAAACAGGGGAACCGGGCCTGACGTAAGAGGGTCCGGGGAAAACCCAAGGGAGCAGCCCATCTTTCTCAGGAGTGGGTTTGGCTATGCTAAGCAAGGCTGGATCTTTGGGGAATGGCAACCGGTTCTCTTCATCAGGGTATAGAGTGAGATAGTTGAGTGAGGGTCTTGGGTGCCAGCTGCCTGCTCTGTAAACAGGACAGCTCCTCCTTCCTCCTTTCCCTCTCTGCTCCCAACTCCTCCTTTGTTTCCTGAGCTTTCTGGGGAAGGGGTGGGAGAGGGTATCTTGAGGGGCTAAGTCCCTGAAGAAGACTGCTAAGCCACAGTCTCATTCAAGGTGAAGCCTGTTGCAAGCCCCTGTCTAGACAACGACCCCTCCCTCTGACCCTAAGTACCTTTAAGTCATGATGCTGATGGCAAAGAGCAAAGGGAAGGCAAAGAGCAGAGGGGCTGCTCTGCTTGACTGGATTAAGGGGGGAAAAGGAAAGCGAGCTACCTAGGCAGCTCTCTTGGGGTCTTGGGAAGTCACCCCGATTCACCAGGGCCTCAGTCCCTCCTGGCTGTCCAAGTTACACTCAGCTGCCGTGAGGCCGCCATTGCTGACTGTGACCATGTATGCTAAAGCTTTCTCTGTGACTGGAGATCCCGTTTCCTTTGTGTGCTTTGGGAACTTAATATCACAGTTGTTTAGCAACTCAAAGTCCCCCTTCTACATCCTTGCTCCATGTAGCCATGACCTCCCCTTGGTCTCCAGGACAGTAATGCCTCCAATGGTGGTTACCCCTTACAGAATTTTGGGTTGACCGCCCAGAGCACCATCCAGAAATGACTGACCTTTGGACATCCTTGAGCCCATGGGGCAGGGCCACGGGCCGTCAGTGTTGGGTGTGAGTGTTGATGACAGCATCTGGAAGGGTCCATTGGAGGGTCCTCCAGGTACTGGTGCTGGTGCAGACCGCACCTGACGATCGTCAGGCACCTACCTCACATTAGACACTGTGCTGGGGGTAAAACATAGTTTTCAATCACAACAGTATCTGAAGATAGGTGCTGTCATTATTCTGCTTTTATAGGCGAGGATAAAGATTCAGAGAAGTAAAGCAACTTGCCCAAGGACCCACAAATAATGAGTGGGGGAAACCGGAGCCGGACACCACACCTGTCTGCTCTCAGACCCGTGTTTCTTGCCCTCCCATCTCTGGTGCAGGCCCCTTGCATTCCATGGCCTGTGTCGTCCAGACCTGCTCTAGGCATGCACACGTGTCCGCCTCAGACTGTGACCCAATTGCTCTGGGATCCCACGAGCTTCAGTTGCTTGAGCAAGACCCTTTGCTTGGAAGGCAGAACCAGCCAGGACTTAGGGGCCTGCTAGGGGCCCAAGCTGGGGGAGCTGTTTCCATAGGTTTGTCCATTCTTGCTGGACAAACACCATGGAAAGGCAGCTGGGGACTCACAGACCAGTCAGGTTCCTCTTCTGCTCGGAGGGACTTTGCCGCCCCACTGCTCTCTGCACTGATGCCACCCACCCCTACAGCCTAGCCTCCCTCTGCCTTCCCTGCAGGGCGCACAGCTCCAGCAGGACCGAGGCAGCATGGCCACTGCTTTCCACCTTTTCCCATCCTCTCTGTTTGCCTGTGCATGTCTTGAAACATCCCTTATGTTTGTGTGGCCTCTGAAATGTTTTTGCAGTCCACTTTCACATTTGGTGTCTCAGGTGACCCCCACAAGAACCGTATGAGGAGCAAGAAGCAAGATTTATTATCCACATCAATGGAGAGTAAACTGAAGCCAGAGAGGATATTTCTCATAGATGATGGCGCAGCCGGGGTTCCAGCCCCGTGTTGGGATTTCTCACCCATGGGCCATGCCGCTAATTGGAGCCCTGTTTTCAATTTGTCGTCTGCAAAGTCCTAGAGGCCCCTGGAGGCACCTCAGTACCTGCCATGGGCCACGTAGGGGTACAGAGGAAATAGAGCTCTGCCCTGTTCATCAAGCAGAGAAGTTCCAATTTTAATAACTTTATATATACTGGGCTTCTGGAGATATTTAATTTGAACTGAGTTTCCATTAGAAAAAAAGTTTACAAAGTATTTGAAAACCACTGCACTAGATCATGTTGCTTTTAGCATTCTTAGCATTTTTGCACCTGCTCACTAGCTGGTTTGACCCTCATATCTCCATCCTGAGAAGATAAGGAACTGAGGTCCAGAGAGACTTTCCCCGCAGTGTGTTAGTGGCAGAAACAGAGCTTGAACTGAGGTTCAAGAGCTCCTAACTGCTCTTTCCCTCTTCACTGTACCCGAGTCTCCAGGGCGAGGCTGCCTCCGAGTTCCCGCTCAGCCTGTAATTCTCGCTTTCTTCCTGACCCCTCCCCCCCCCTCCAGCCCATCATCTTCGTCTCAGACAGAGCAAACAGCAACAAGGAACTGAGTGTGGACCAGGAATCGGAAGAGGGCAAAGACAAAACGAGCCCTGATAAGCAAGAGAAACCCCCACAGGTTTCTGAGCATGTGGCACAAATTGGGGCGGCCAGCGCGCCAGGGCCTGCTATGCTCCTAGGGTGCTCAGGCTGGAGGGGCCGCAGGGGTGGGGTGTCTCGTAAACATCTAGAGGTTTGGATTTACCCACCGACCTTTCTTTCATCAAGTTCTGCTGAAATTTGGGATGCTGCTCCGGCCTTTGGGGTTGGCGGCCCCACCAGGGCAGTCCCGGGCCTGGGAAGCACAGGCTGAGCCTCCCTGCTGAACAGGAGGGGAGGGGCCCGCAGAGCCTGATCCGGAGCGACTCCTGTTTCCTGGTGGCCTCTTAACAATGGGGGAAAAAAGAACAGGAGCGAGAAAAGGGGCTAACATCAGAAATGGAGTCCTCCAGATCTCTGGGGAGGGTGTTAGACTGCAGTGGGGAGAGATGGTCACATAACAATTAGTAGAAGTGGGGCTAAAGGACAAAAGTCCATGGACAAGCCCAGGGCCACCGTCTCTACCCTGGAGTGCCCATGCAATTGAGTGGGGAGAGGGGTCCTCTGAGGACTTGGCCTTGATGGCACAGGCAGCTGGGGGTGTCAGAATAGCCTGGTCTCCTTTGTCCTGAGGGGGGCGTTTGGTTGGGATAGTCAGGCTCACAGCGGGGAGGGGGCTCTAGCTGGTGAGGATGAGGGAAGGGACCACGGGGGTTGCCTACATGTGTGCTGTGTGCGTGGCCAATGCATCTCTGTCTGGAGCATCCGGGCTGGGGAGGTATGTGAGAGGCTGCGGGCGCCAGGGTCATTCCCACTCCAGCGCACCAGCTTTGACCGGGAAGGAAGAGTACTTGACCGTCCCCAGCGCCTGCCCCCACGGAGGGCTGGTGTGAGGCGCTCTGGCTCCTTCGGCCTAGAAGAAGCATTCCTCACTGTCTGCCAGCTCCCTGATCCCTGTGAACCAGTTTTCCTTCTGCTCCCACAGCCACGGCCTGGCAACACCGACCAGGACAGTGAGGAACAGCAACACTTCCAGAACATTTTCAGGCAAATAGCGGGTGATGTGAGTACTTCCAGCCCCGACTCCCAGACACCCTCCCCTTGTGAACCGCTTGGGCAACCAGTTATTGCACTCTTGTTCAGCAGAGGCCATTGTGGCGTTTGGTGGAAACGGGGGACGTATGTGTGTGGCACAGACACCCACGAGGCCGGCTCTTGAGTTTGACGAACACCGCTCTGGGTGGCGCAGAGGCCTCCTTGCTCCAAGCCGCCCACTGCAGTCTGGCGGCCGAGGGCGCAATGTCTGTCTTCTGCAGAAAAGCCCCAGTGCCCCTCTGACAGAATAGCACTGGCAGGGACTTGACAGACACGGACAGTTGGGAGTCACTTTGCAAAGCCTCTACTCCACTAGCTGCTGTGCCCTTGAACCTTGACTCTACTCCCTTCTTCCTCAGGACATGGAGATCTGTGCTGATGAGCTCAAGAACATCCTTAACACGGTTGTGAACAAACGTGAGTGGCTCCCACCGTGTGCGGTGTGTGCCAGTCACCTCAGTGCAGTTCCTCACTCCACTCTGCCTCCCAGACAAGGACCTGAAGACGCAAGGCTTCACGCTGGAGTCCTGCCGCAGCATGATCGCCCTCATGGACGTATCCTTCCTGCCACCCTTCCCAACCCTCTGTCGGGGGCCAGGGCCACAGTGAGGGGTGCCCAGTCAGGCGCAGGAGCCCAAATTCATGTTCAAGGAAAGATCTAAGGAGGCCCCAAGTCAGAACCTCCTGGCTGCTGGTCTGAAAGTGGTGACAGGAGGAGGTACAAGTTGGGAAGGCCACTGGGTTGTCACCAGCCCCTGATCTTTCCTGCCCAAGCAGAAGTGGTCCCTGGGACACCATCTCCAAGTCGTAGACTCTAACTCTGCTTGGGAAGGCACGGAGGGGAGGGTTATAAATACCAGGACAGGGCATTAGGTACAGGACAGTGCGTAGGGTGTCCTGGGTAGAGCCTTCCTGTGGGGCTGCCTTCCCAGCAGAGAGGCCCCTAGAAACCACGCCCCCCCGCCCCCGCCCCCCCCCCCCCCGGCCCCAGGGGGATTGTGCCTTGTGCGCCCTGTGGCCCTGACCTCCCCCCAGACAGACGGCTCTGGGAGACTGAACCTGCAGGAGTTCCATCACCTCTGGAAGAAGATTAAAGCCTGGCAGGTGGGGAGAGAGCAACAAGTGTGGGTGCGAAGGAAGTTGATTCAGGGGTTCAGTGTGTAACTGCTGTCCTCAAATGTTCTCTTGCCAGAAAATTTTCAAACACTATGACACAGACCAATCTGGCACCATCAACAGCTACGAAATGCGGAATGCAGTCAATGATGCAGGTGAGGCAGAAGGGGTGTGGCCAGGAGCTGGCAGGAGCCCCAAGGGGAGAGGATGAGGCCAGGCCCCCCCCCCCCCCCCGAAAGGGCTTCTCTTTGCCTTTCCCAAGAGGCTGGGAAATAGCAGGCAGGCCTCAGGACTGCAGCTCCACTTCCTCCTCTCAAGTGGTCCCTCCACAGGGTTCCACCTCAACAGCCAGCTCTACGACATCATCACCATGCGGTATGCAGATAAGTACATGAACATCGACTTTGACAGTTTCATCTGCTGCTTCGTCAGGATGGAGGGCATGTTCAGTAAGCGGGCGGCTCCCCTACCCCTCTCCCACAGTGAGAGCTGTGGCAGTGGGAATCTCAGCCCCATCATCCCCCAACCCACTCTCTCTGGGTGAACAAAGGTGGAGGCCCTCTTCAGACTCAGATGGGTGGGTAGAGGGAGAGCTATTGGTAATGCTCTGCCTGGCAGAACATGGTCCTCTTAAGAAATTTACAGCAGTGGAGGCAGGGCGAGCCTGTGGCCTCCAGTCTGTCTTCATCCCCCCACACAGGAGCTTTTAATGCATTTGACAAGGACGGAGATGGTATCATCAAACTCAACGTTCTAGAGGTAAAGCCTGCAAGCAGCAGCACACTCCCCCTGGCCTTAACATTCAAGGAGTCAATGAGGCAGACTAGACCCTCTGTGCACTCTTCACCTCCAAATGTGACTGAGGGATGGGATCAGACAGGAACAGGAAAGGGAGCACAATGAGGGATGTACACTCCCAGGGGTCCTCAGTTCCTAAAGGGACTTGACGTGGGAAACCGTGTACCTTCCCGAGCACATGGGGCCTGTGCCTCCCTTACCCTGTCAGATCCCGAGGGCTGGTCTCTCCTTTCTTATCTGCAGCCTGATCTTGGTATTTCCTTTCAGTGGTTGCAGCTCACCATGTACGCCTGAACCAGGTGGGCCTCGGCCAGGCCTGGGCAAGTCCACTCAGGATTTTAACTTCACCCAACGTAGCTACAGCCACTCACCTCAAAGGTCAAGGTAGCTGCACCCTCAACAGGCCTTCAGATGCCTCATCGGTCTTGTTCCTCCTCTACTTCACTCCCCACTCGGCCTCAGGGCATCTGTCCATCTGTCATGCCCACACTGCCCCTTTCGTGAAGGGCCTTTGTCCCTTTGCATGTGCAGGAAAGTGTCTGTTTGCCTCAGCTAGTTGTAGAGAGAGATTTGCTTAGAATCTGAGAAGCCTCAGGTCTGAAGCAAATGCCCGCCTTGGTATGCCCTAGGCTGTTCACAAAAGCGTTTGCCAATGGCACTCAGTACTTCCTCTGCTAGAGCCCTCTCCCCAATCTCCGTGTCCCACCCATGGGACAGTCACCAAAGTAGCACTTGGGTTTGACTTTCAGTATGGGCCCTCTCTGGGGAAAACTAGCTCAGTAAAAGAGAGCTGGGTACTTTTGGCTAACCTGTAAGTTTCGCTGCATTCAGGAAAATACTGATGTAAATAAAGGCATGTGTATGGCTGGCTATCGTGTTTTGTTCTCTCACATTTGCTTATTGGCCACAGCAGGGCTCAGTAGTGTCCAATCGCACACTCCCCTGTCCCGTAGAGAGAGCCCTAGTTTCAAAATACAACGAGGGAAAACACACACATACACAAATAAACCCCAAGTCCCGCTCTCCTCGTGCCAAGTGCTGTTTCTCGAGCACGTAAATCACTCAGACACTGTCCAGGACACATGAGGAAGGGAGGGGAACAGCTGTTGGTATATGGAACAGGAATATATGGGCCACCTGTAACTGGAGGGGCACTTTCCTAAGTGTAATGGGGCAAAAATGTAGTTTTTGATCCTAGCTCCTCCGTTAACTGATCTCTGCACATGACCTTGAACAAATCCTCAAATGTAGCTGCTTGCCAGTCTCATCTCGCCTGCAGTGTGCGGCTTATCTACAAACCACTTGTGTTTTTCACTCATTTTCTTTAGTCTTTGTACCAACAAGGAAAAGAAAAGGTGGGCTAGGAATGTGCAGATAAGCTAACAAAAGCAAACAATTAGTAAAAGTACTTTATTTTCCTCTTGAATTTACTTTATACCTTGCTTTACAAAGTTACGAAGTTCACAGGTTTATACCAAAATGTAAGAAGGATAGATAAGCTGTTTGCTTATAAACATTTTTGCAGTCAAATGTCATCGCAATTCATTCTTCTAACCCACATTCCATAGAAACAGCTCTACCAGGAGTGCTGAGCAGCTCCCGGGCTCGCATCCCTCCTAAGCAGGAGAAAGACCTTTAGTAGCCTTTCCTCCTTGACTCTCCTCCTCCCCCAATCCAACTGGGCTACTGCCTTGAATTTATAGCAAATCTGGGGAATTTTAGGGGCCAAGTGACCCAGCAGGGCCACGCATGGGGAGTTAGAGTGAGGTGAGAGGTTACTGTCTGATAAGCAGTAGTTTGGAGTCACCCCTGGAATTCACGCCTCCTTGCATCTGAAGCCTAGGGCAGCCCACAACGCCCCCACCACAGCTTCTGTTGCTGGCCACCAGGCAGCCTCTCTGTGGTCCCGAGGGCCCCAAGGATCTGGGGCAGGGGCAGAACCACTGTTTCATCCGTGTGGCAGGAACAGCCTTCCTGGCAGTTCTAAAAGCTCTCCTTTGGGTGACAGAAACAAAATCTATAAGACAGCACATGTTAACTGTAGCTATTTGAACAAACCAGAGGGAACGTGCAATTCAAATCCCACTTCACAATATACTCTGACCTCCCCTCCAATGCAGTCTCTCCCATGAAACATACCCCACCCCTGCACTGAGCGTTGTACACCTGCTCCCAGCAAACCATCCACATACTCGTCACTGAAGTTTTCCACTGTATGATCCACCCCCCCAAAACAATCAATCAAACAAACAAACAAATAGAAACCTTTGTGAGGCAAATAATTACTTAAACAGCAATGATATTGCCTGTTACTTATAAGCAGGTCAAACACTCAACTGCTGGCTCTCCTGAGACAGAAAAAAATCCTCCCAACAAAAGCAGGAGTGGAGTGGCGGTGACATTCTCTTCAATTCAAGTAACACGAGGTCAAAATAATTCTTTGTTCTTAAGAGTTTTGTTTGCATCATGTTTAATTGCTGTATAACTGAGTTATAGGATTATGCTAAAATATATTTTGAACCTGATTAAAACTTCAGGATAAAACTTGAAGTGACTGTTATCATATCAGAACACTTGACCATTAAGACACTACCATCAGCACACAACAGGCTTCGCACTATTGTTTCCTTGGCTTCAAGCCAGTCGAAGTAGGCACACGCAATTATCAGTAACATTCTAAACAATGGCCGCCAACTCCTTATAATAAATGAGTCAGGTTTTGTCAGGTCGCGGAAGTTTCCTGTCTTCTTAAAGTACTAGATGTGGAGATAAGCAAATCCCTGAGCCACAGCTCTTCTCTGAGGGGGGACAGAGGGCTAGAACCAGTCAAGACACTGTAGAAGATAAAAACAGCCAAAATTCTGCATAACTTTCAAGACACTTAATAGTAGTAACACACAACCATACGTAAGCAGCCAAGGTGCTCATGATGCATTTATTGCTGAACAGAAGGCTGGAGCGTTGCATTTAGGGTAACACACTAACCTGATGCTAAACACACTACACATCCTTGAAACAAACACATTATTGCCACTGCTTCACAGACAGGTTTTGTGAAATGAGGAAAAGCATTACAGTATAGGTGCCCCTGCGTGCACACACACAAGGAACATTCACACACGAAGGCAGGCAGACTGTGCACAATTCCACCAAAGTGAAATCCAAACCAGTCCCTACTGATTTGACCTGCAGAGGTTCCCCACAATTGCCCCACAGAGCCTCTGCCATTCTCTGCGTTTCAGGCATGTCCTCAGGCAGGTCAGGACACTGCAACACAGTGCATGAGGCTTTCCTAGCACATTGCCTGGCCAGCTGGTAAATGCTGCTTTACTGCAACTCAGAGAAAAATGCCGGGTTTAGCAATGAATCTGAATATATTTTCCTGGGGAACCGCTATTCCCAAACCACAGAACAGCCCAGCTCCTCTGGCCGCCAGTCCAGGAAATGGGGGCGAGAGGAGGGAGAGGCTTCTTGATCTCAGAGAACCAGCACAGTCTTTATGCAACAGGGTCCTCTCTGTTCTCTCTGGTGTCCTGTAAATCTCAGTAAGATAGTGCAGTCAACAGAAGTTTTCCCACTCACAAAGACACAAGTAAATAGCTGGGGAGCCATTCACTAGCTAGTAGTAGCTCCTCTATTAGTTCTCGATGTTTTGGATCCAGTAAGAACCACTAAGGCTTTCTCCCTGGAGAAAAGAACACATACTTTGCCTTGTACACAACTTTAGAGGGTTCCCATACCCTCTGGAAACCTACCCCTGAATTCCCAGTGAAGCTCCCCTGCCCTACAGCCAGAGTTAAGAAGACATGTGAGTGGACATGTGTTCACTAACGGGCGTAGAGAGAAACCTGGATGCCCTACCATCCTAGGAAACAGTAGGTGCCACGTCCCAGAGCTTGGCTGTGTGGCCCTGGGCTCTCCTCCCTGCTCCTTATCTCTGAGGAATCTTTCAGAGTCCTGTGAATCCAGAAACCAAAGAATAGAAAGCAATACTTCTATCGCTTCTCTGAAGAGTCCAGAAAAAATCTAAAAACAAAGCCATCTCACTAAGGCTTTGTTAACGTGGCTGCTCTCAGTGGCAGGCAGAGTCTCTACCGTCACCAGATTCCACTCTTCCCTCCCAGCTGGTGGAGGGGTGAAGGCAGGACAAAGGTTTTAGAATCAGAAGCAGTCTCTCAGAAGCCTGCTTGAGGCCCTAAAAACTGAATTCAGGTGCTTTACCCTAACTCTCCCATCTCAGGTGCTGCAGGTGAGTGGAAAACATCCTGAAAGCCCAGGGAAGTACCTGCTGGCTGCCATCTGGAGAATGAGAGAGACAGGGGCGGGCAGTGGAGCAAACTAAAAGGTTTCAAACCCGCGGCAGCCTGGGAGAGCCTGAAACCAGAAAGGGAGATAAAGGCTACACTTCCAGTTCTGTCCCCACAGCAAGGAGCACCCAGGTCAGGCCTGACTGCCGCACTGCAAGGCGGACACTGGGTCTGTGTGCCACCCAGAGCCAAGCACCCAGCCAAACTCGCACAGGAGGTTCACCAGGTAGAGCCGTCTGTATGGAGCTGCCCGAGTCCCTACAACAGAGTCGGCTGAGCGGTCACGCCAGCTGCTAGAACATCTCCTGGGTCTCCCTTTAGCATTTAAAGCCAGCTCTGTCCACCTACAAGGCAGGAGGATATCAAAACACACTAAACATAATTATTAAGAAGGAAACCATTTGCTTCCAATTTAGATACCCAATTATTACAACTGGAAAAATTTAAACTAATTCTAAAAAATCTAGCATCTGAACAAACTGGTACTTATGTAAAAGCCTGACTACAGGTTTAAACCATCATAAGGACATGAACTAAAAATCACAAACTGAAATCAACAGAAATATGATTAGGGTCAAATTAAGTAACCAATTAAGATGCGCATCTTTAATAAACATCTGGAGAACACTAGTAGCATAAATTACTACATGTCATGCTGTTCCAGAGGACTATGGTTCCTTAAAATCTGTTTACATTTGACGAACCTCCAGTAAGAACTTGAAGTGTAACCTATCGTCCCACAGAGCTGCCCAGACTTATGCTCCAGGTAAGCCTGGCCGGGAATCACTTCCTGCGCCCCGCTTCCCTGGGGAAGGGAAGAGAGCGGCCCGTGTGAGGGGCTGATGTGAAACTGGTTCAACTAATGACTTCCCAACATGGGAGGCAAAAAACTTCACGAATCGACTTTGCTGTCATCCTCGGCATGTCGTTCAATGTGTCCTGCAGCATCCTAGGAACCAAAGGAAAAGGGCCCATGAGAGAGAAGTTGGTAGAAGGACAAGAGAGAAAATCCAAGACAAGGAGAGCTTCATGGGTACATTCTACAATCTGTACCTAAAGGCAGTTAGGACCTGGCATTCTTCATTTGAAACCTCATAAAGCTACCCCCCAAATCTCTGAAAAATAACAAAAAGAAAAATCCCTAGACTCTCCCTATCTATTGCAATTCTGAACATTCTAAGTAGGCAAAAAAGGTTTCCACACCCTGCTCCCACAGGACAAATGACTTCAGGTCAACCTCGAGTCCCACTGATGTACCTGTTTGGATCCTTTCCTAGCAGTGAAAAAAGCATCACAGTTCTTCCAGCGACATTTCAGAGTCTGAAAGTTTGGGTTTGTGTGGTCAGTCAGCAGGTGTTGTTTTAAATGATCTACCACACCGAATATCAGAGAGCAACCGTGCCACTGGAGAGAAACAGAACGAAAGGTTAAAAAGGGCACCAGAAACCTGCAATTAGAACATTCCTGCAATTAGAACTGCTTGTATACTGTAAATTTGGAGGAAACAAAGAGTCCTTTTTTATTTAATTTGTTCTTGCTAGCAAAACAAAGCCAGAGGCAACC